AAGCGAGACCAGTTTTGAAGACTGATAGTAGACCGGTAAACACACGGCTGTACCAAATTTTGGAATATTTTATTGATAACGGGATTATGGCATTTTTTAGGGTAGACCTATAACTTTGTCAAGCACTGTATATATTAGGTCCTTTCGAAAGTAATGTCGCTTTTTTCAAACGTAAGCTACATCTCGTCTAACAAAGATGTGAAAGAGATTCTGGTAGCATTCGATGCAGCATTTCATTCTCTTTTTAAAGGTTATATAATCACTGCACAGAATTCAATAACTTTTCAAAGAATAAATAAAATCTGCGACACATGCTTTTTGAGAAGGCCAAGTTTTACAATTTTTCTTAATCTTTATAACAAACTTCGGAAGGAGTCCAAGCAATGGACGGATAAAGCAAACCCTACAGAAAACAGCACAACTTTTTTCTACTTTTTAAAGCTCGTCATAATTTCTGTTTAGATAGACCGTATTTTAGCAGGCACGTCTCAGACACAAATGCATCAAACACCAAAAAATTTTCGAATATTGAAACTTACAGAGATGGATTATAGTTTGACAGCAATTTTACAAACGAAATGAGCATTTACCGCTTCAAATTAACAACTTTCGAAAATTCCGGGTACAGCCTGAGGCGCCCTGGAAAACCTGAATTATGACGATATTATCCCGGAAATCGTGATGAATCAGAAAGAAAAAACAACAGGTAGAAAGAGGAGAAAAAGCTGCGTCGAATGACACCCGAGTTGCTTGCAGGTTGTTGCTCTATGAGGTTTGAATTGACCAAATGGAATTTGGTCAATTCAAACCTCATAGAGCAACAACCGGCAAGATTCCAGAAACTCTAAGAAGCAAGCTAAGGAAAAGAAAAAATTGCTTTGCGTTCTATAGGGTTTGCTCTATTTACCAATCGCTTGTATTTCTCCGGAGAATAGGTGGAAAAATTTTAGAAAAATAACCGAACTTGACCCTGGTAAAAAGCAAGAGTCGCAGATTTTGGTACTTTTTCGAGAGCTCATTGAATATTATGCGACTAAATTACAAGCATTAGAAAGATGATGAAATGCTGCATCAAGGTCTCTTGAAAATCTTGATTCCATTAAATGTGCCGTTCATTTGAGAAAAGCGTTACTTTCGGAACGACCTAATACATGGGTTCCCATAAGTCTTTCATTTTTGAGTTTTCGCTGTAATGAAATTACAGCGAAAACTTAACGCTGTAAGCTTTTGCACCAGCTTAGGTTCAACTCAAGCTTCGAACCAAAATCTAAAAAGTTTCGGATGCTCAAAAAACCGAAAATTTTTCATATCTTCGTTGAAAAAAATCCTACAGACCTCTAACTCGCTCACGCATATACAATCCACATCAGACATTCATATGTGCTGCTGCTGTACTTTTTTCATTAGCTAGAAATCAAGGAAACGAAAAATTCCATGATTTTACTGAAGTGATGTTGTGCTGTTCTAACGCTAGTACTTGTATACTACAAGCCTTTAGAAGTACTACCGTAAAATTGTAGTTTCCTAGAAGCTCTGGTTTTCGAAGAATGTTGAGTTAAGAGTGAAAAATCTGAATGAGGAAAGCTAAATTCGCTGTTTCTCGGGAACTAGAGCTTATAGAAAGCTGAAAAATTTACATTTGTACTTTTGAGTGCTTGTAGTATACAAGTGTCACTGTTAGAAAAGTACGGCATTACTTTGATGAAAGCATAAAGACTTTCGTTTGATTTCTAGCTAATAAAAAAACACAGCAACACTACATATGAGTGTCTGATGTGGAATGTATACGCGTAAGCGAGTGAAATATCTTTAGGACTTTTCTGAACAATACGAAAATTTTTTGATTTAGATTTTGGTTTGCAACGGGTTGGACCTAAGCTGGAGAAAAGCGTAAGCGCCATCTTATAGAGCTTGCTTTTGAATTTTTGAAATTTATTTACATGGGATATGAAAATGTGCAAATGACTAACTCCACTGCTGTTTACGTTTCATATATGCATCTTATATATAAAGCTGAATGTCTGTTTGTATGTATGTCTGTATGTATGTATGTACAGTGACCGCCAAAAAGTTGCGGACAAACCTTTCTCCCTTTTTCATCACTCTTTTTCAGAAGGAAAACAAAGATGAAAATATGTAGTAATTGCATGAGGTGATAAAGCTCTTTAAGGTCTACAATCTACACTTTGAGTTTTTTGAGAAACATGTGTTCTAAAAATTTTAAGAATCTTTTTCTTAAAAAAAGTCCGAAAATGGCCGCGTCGCAATGTCGCGGACAATAATTCTTCGAGCGCAAAAATTTTATTTCGAGTCCTATTTTAAAGCGGAAACACAAGTGATCCAGACGGGTAAGCACACTACTATACAGAGCTCGTCAAGAACTACAAACCGTTATGGTTGCTTCCCAGAAAACGCAAGCTTCAGTTTTATTTTAGTTTTTTCCAAAAATAACTTCTAATTTCCTTTGTCAAGCCAAATTTCTTCACACGGAAACCTGTTCAAAACATCCCAACAATGCCGTCTGGATAAAATAGATGCTCTTTGCCATCCTCTATGCATCGGACGTGTGCTGATGAGTTTCTTGGCTGAAAATGGCCCCTGGCAGTGCTTGCACATCACCCCACCTGTATCTAATCACTGACTTGTACCGCTTTGCAGGCTTGTAACTCGGCCGCCAAACACTATAAGAGTCTGCCAGTAGACTCTTCGAAAGAGCGTGACTTCCTGGACACAATTTCAGAGATTTGGCGGATGGGGTGAAAAAGTGCAGCATTAGAGGTGATTGGAGTGAAAGCTCTTATGAACACCAGAACAGTCTTATAGCTTCGAAATGGATCTCTTACAAGAAAATTGACAGTTTTGAACTGCCAGGATGAAATTGGTAGCGAGAGGAGCTCTCTTCAACTTTAGCTGAAAAGTGCTTAGACTACAACTGAAACTGCCCTCTTCCACCCCAGCCAAATCTCTGGGATTGTCCAAACTAAAATTATTCGCAAACCATCGTCTCGAGGAAGTCACGCCCTTTCGAAGAGCCCAAGTACAGGCTCGTAGATTGCCTGACGTCTGAGCTACAAGCCTGCAAAGCGGTACAAGTCAGTGGTGAGGCGCAGGTAGGGTCACTTGCACGCGTTGTCAGGGGTCATTTTCAGCCAAAAAATTCAGCAGCACACGTCCGGTGCATGGAAAATAGTAAAGAGCTTCTACTTTATCCGAACAGCTATGTTGGGATGGCTTGAATAGGTTTCCATGTGAAGAAATTTGCTTTGAAAAAGAAAAATAGAAGTTTTTTTTTGAAAAAGCAAAACAGATCAAACTTGCGTTTTTTTAAGTAGCCACTATATGATTGTTGCTCTCGATGAGCTCTACGATATAGTATGCTTACCTGTTTCGGAAAACTTTTGTTTCGCTCTAAAAAAGACATTTTGCGTTTGAAGAATTATTGTCCGCGACATTGTGATGCGGCCATTTTCGGTTTTTCTAGAAAAAGATTTTTGAAATCTTTAGAATACATGTTTTCCAGAAAGCGCAATGTATGTGTTGTAGCTCTTGAAGAGCTCTATCACCTCATCCAACCCAATCATTTTTTCATCCTGGTTTTCCATCCGAAAGTGAACGCTGAAAAAGGAGGACAACTTGTCCGCGACTTTTTGCGGTCACTGTATATATGTACCCGTTCCCTCTTGTAGCGACCGTAGATCCGCCAATAACGCATGGCAATGTTTTCAAACTTATTCGCCTCCCCACTTCTCCTTCAGCCCATTCGATATTTTTCGAAATGAAAAAATACAAGCATAAAGAACAGTAGCGTTAAAATTTGGGAACCTTATAAAAAATTGGAATCGTCTCCCTTACAAAACCTGAACTCCAAAGAGGCAAGGCTCTCCATGGCTTCTCGTCCCCGATAGCTTCATAATTTGTCTTTCTAACCAGTTCTAAAAAAGTTGAATCACTCGCCAAACCTTTTTCGTCCCGTAACAGGAGGATGTAAGGTCGTCGTATAACAACCCCATCGTCTTGTCAATCCTTGTGTCTTCTCCTTTGAGAAATTCACGTATTCTTTGCGTGAAACCACAACGCCGACTCGTTCCTCGGTCACCATAAGAAATAAGCTCTTTCGAGTTTTATTGTATCAGAGAAAAACCAGTCTCTCACCTCAGGGACAAGGAAATACATTTGCTTTAGCCGGCTACCGCTGAGACTTCGCTTCATTGCTATTTGATCAAGAATATCATCGTTACTGCTGAGATTTTGATCCGATTTGGATTTTGTCGACCTTCAGCGAAGGAGAAAATTTGATAAGAGATCTCAAAGATTTTAGTTAATGCGCAACTATGGTGTTTTAAGAAAGAAAAGCTTTTACTTGTCAGAAGTCGGTGATGTTATGCTATCACTACGGCTTCCATCACTTAGTTAGTTCTTGAGCCTTGTTTCCAGTTGGTAGATCTTTATTCAGAGGGCTTCTTTGCCCTATTTAACGCACAACTTTTGCGCGATGCCTGGAAAAGGCAAAAATTGTGAGAGTGTGTGATTTACAAAGGAATTTAGAAGGCATATTCAGACAAGTCTGAGCACCATTGTTTTTTTTTTTCGGTAAACGAATTACGAAAGCACAGCCAAGCCGTTGATCACGCGGCATCTCAATCACTTCAATCGTAACTGAGAGAACAAACGTTAAATGCTCACCCGAACAAATCAATGTCATACGGTAGGAAGTACGGTCTGGTTACGTGCTCAGAGTTGAATTTCTCAGCTAATAATATGTGAGAGAGACCTAGCTAAGCCACAGGCTAAGTGCCAATTCGTACAATTATCCATGACGTTGTAAGACTCCCAACTCTCGCCCACTACCGCACTTGAAAGCCATTCAAAAATACTATACTGGATGAGAGCTTGGAAATGAAAAAGGACACGCTTGATTTATAGTGGCTGCCGCTAGAGGGACGGCTTAGTCAAGGCCTCCAAATCAGTTTCCCCGCAAGAATCCAGTTAAATAGATCCACTTAGACTACCTGCAAATTAATATTCACCTTCCTCCTATTGTTGAGCGTAACAGCACTTGGTATAGGTCGTACAGGTTCGCATGGTGATACGGGCGTCTTGGCTTCTCCTTTTCTCTTGCCCTTCAACTTGTCGCGAAGACGTAGAAATAGCCGGACCCGCTCAGCCTGAAATGTGGCATAATTCTACAAACCTGTTGAAGCCTTGTAAGCTTTTCCAGTTCCCATTGATGCTCGGAAATGAGCGAATTCCCTCGTGGTCGCCAATGTCCGAGATTTTCTTCGCCACGGACGTAAGCCGACGAAGTATCAAGCACACGGCGTTGACGACGAACTGCTCCTATAACAAAAAAAGTCATCGGATTCTCTCGTCAAATTCATGTTTTAGTAGCTAATTAATGAAGATTATATTGTATGAATATTTTGATTTTAGTAAATCTAACTCATGTTAGACGAGCGTAACGAGACAAACAAAAGCAGTGAGTAACGACCGGGACTACCTGAGTCGTTAGCGTCTTTAAGGCATAACTGACACACTCCGGGGACACGAATCTTTTTGAGGGACTTCGAGATGCCACAATCAGCGAGCGACAGAACCTAAAAAGAATGCATGAGAATGGCTTATTGGACTGCTACAGTATGCTACCGTGACCTCATGTGGCATTAGCGATCTGCCATGTTCGCGCTGTGAGCTCAAAGAAATCCCCTTTGTAACCTTTGTAATTATGGAACGCTTTTCGTAGAAGCGGATGAGAAAGAAGTAAGGCGAATAGTTCTTCTCGATCTTTCCAGTATCATTAATAAAGGTGAAATTTCGGAAATTGTACCAACAATTAGAATAAATAGAAAATGTTCGTGAAGAGAGATAAGCAACTTCGCATTTGAATGAATTCCTGCTTATACCGCTGGAAACGGAGTTATATAGTAACTCAGCTCAATAAACTTACTCTTACAAAGCATAGAGCTAAACTTTTGCACATAACTGCAAGTTTTCAAAATGTATATAAGTTTTATTTTCTGTAAAAAAACTGCGTGGCCGTTTTTGAAGCAACTTTTGTTAAAATATGGCCTGAGAAAGATACATCTTGCGTGCAAACATCAGTAATAATGTTTTTGTAGTGGCCAATAAGATTTCTTGGCTTGGCTGTTTGTCAAGAACTCTCATGGCTGATATATCAAATTCTTTGTAAAATCTCAAAATTAGGACATTTGTTACAAATATTAGGTTGGTTCATAAATAATGCACGTTTTCTTAACTTCCACTTCAAATGAAGATAATTCTTTTCCAAAACAATCTTTCTGAGCGCAACAAAAACTATTATAGACAGCAAACTTCTGGCTATACAAGATATACTTTTGTGTGATTGCACTCATCACGGGAAAGATTTCACGTTCAAAATTTACCGAGAATTTTTTCTGGAAAGCTCTAGTTTGAAGAAGCATAACTTACTCTCAAAAGAACTAGATTGGAGCAGATTTTGCTCATTGTGTAGCCGATGGTCGATTTAGTAGTAGCGTAGAACTTGGCTCTTACCAAAAAATTTCTGCGGAAAAAATATTGCCAAGAAAGCAAAAGTACCATTTTCTCCTGCACTTTAGAGAAGGAAAAAATCTGTATTTTTTAGATTCCTTCAATTTTTTTTATTTCAAAAACGAGAAAATTCTGCCGTTTTCCTATTATTAGTAGTCCTTGGTCTACTCTACCAAAACCAAATGAAAGTTCTGTAATTGCTTTTTATGTAAGCGTTTCATAAAGCTCCCAGTGATCCCAGCATTCAGCTAACTTTGAGTCGAAGCTTCTCGGCTCAGGATTTCTAAAAAATTTAGCCTTAGTGAGCACTTTCTAGCACAAATCTTCGCGATTATAACACATATTTTTTGAAGCAAATTTAAGCATTTCTCATGGAATTAGGGCAAGTCGAATGAAAGGAAAAATTTTCAAGTTCGAGTCCCTCACCTTTGAGGGCACGGAACTTCGGTCTGAACAAGGATCACCGAAAACGAAAGTGTATGTTTGAAAGTAGATGAAACGAGTTTTCCGATAGCGCAGATGGTTTTGGAGAAGACGATTTTTGGTTGAAAACTAGCGTCTGAAAGAAGGAAAAACGTGCATTACTTCTGAACCAACCTAATATTTCATTAAATAGATTATTGTAAAATTTCTGAAAACGTATTCACACGTAATTGACTTCTCAATAAATTCCGTAGATAGAGTTCATGAGTTTCATATCCTAATTGAGGCAGATGTGAGGCCTGAGCAGAACATAGAGTTTGGCACATGGCATCATATAGGCTCTACAAACACTGATTTTTTAAAAAATTTGAAAGAATAAAATTTAGTAAAACTTACCCTCTTCTCTCTGGGATACTGGTGTTCCGCTGGCTGTCCATTTACCTTTAGCTGATTTCTTTACACCAAAACGATTGCGAAGGTTGTCAAGAGATCTCCTTGTACGACCACCGCCACCGCAGCCTAGAGTTCTATCAATTATTTATTATGATTTTTGGTAATTTCTGGCACATCTAGAACATTCTCAGCATAGAGACATTGAAAATATATATGCTCAAATCCCCCACAACCTCCGCCACAACCTCCTCTACAACCTCCCCCCTCATCCACCTCCACCGCCACATCTGCAGCAGTAATCGACAGCATGTACAGCAGCGAGTACAATAGCAGGAACAGCATGTCGTAGAACGACAACAGCATCTGTAGCAGAATGTCTTTTTACATTAATTCAAGGAAAAGTATGCCCAATTAGTTTGGCAGAGAAAAGTTAAAAGTGGCTTTGAAAATGTAAGATAAAAAGGTCTGAAATCTTATATATAAAGCTGAATGTCTGTTTGTCTGTCTGTCTGTATGTCTGTCTGTCTGTCTGTACGTATGTTCCGAATAGAAAATTCCATTTCTGAACCGATCCGGACCAAACTTGGCACACATACACTTCGGGCCCCGGCGGGTGTCATAGGCTACTTTTCGTATCGATCGATTCGATTTTATCGATTTTTTGCAAAATTTGAGCTACGGGGCTGGGAGTTGGCACAGGGGGTAAGTGGGGGGGATCAGCATGCTCACTTACCCCCCTGTGCCAACTCCCAGCCCCGTAGCTCAAATTTTGCAAAAAATCGATAAAATCGATATCGATCGATACGAAAAGTAGCCTATGACACCCGCCGGGGCGCGAAGTGTATGTGTGCCAAGTTTGGTCCGGATCGGTTCAGAAATGGAATTTTCTATTCGGAACATACGGCGGAGCCGGGTAAGCCAGCTATGTAGTAATATATAGATTCCAGTGGAATTTGTAATGAAGAATGAAAAATAAAGGTTTTGGCGTCTTTAATACTCTTTGCGGACATGCTCCGAACACACCCTACTTCAATGTCGAAGAAACTACTGAATGCGTGCAAGCCCAATGACCTGCGAGGGCCAGCAAGTTGGTTATCAAGTCAATGCTTTCATCCTCTTAAATTACTCGGTACCAGTTTATTACCCCCGGTTAAAGGGCTTGGTCAACCCAGGGATGGAATCGGACCTTGGTACGACTCGGTCATAGAGGCGCGTCATAACTACGCCCCTCGTTTTGTAATATCTGCGTATTTCTATTGTTATTGCTGGGTTTACGCATAATGAAAATTCTATTCGAAATGATACTGAAAATCCAAAACGTGAGAGCCCAAAGCTCTATGTCTACAGAAATTCTGAACAGTTTTTTTACTCGTTAGTAGTGATTTTGAGCAAGACCCAAACTAAAGTAAGCTTTTTGGGCTTCTTAAAATTCTTTGTTATTTGAAAACAGCTTCTTAAAATAAAATTTGTGTGAAATTCTCTCTACAATTTAGTCTCAACGGAAGGCCAACAGTAAATTTTCTAAAATCCACTAAAAAGAGCAGAGTTCCTCCTTCAAAGTTATGTCGGATTGAACAAATTTGTTGAAATGAAAAAGAAGAATTTTAAATTACTCTGATGCAAGGCTGCTGCTCAACCTAATGGGTTGAGTAAGAAACATTACAGACAAAAGAGCACTAAGAGCATTGCGAAGCGCCTAAAGATACTAAGATTGTTTGATGGTACTTCAAGGGAAATACCAAGCCTATTTTTGTGACAGTTTTGTTTGTATCATTCAAACGATAAATAGTGTTATGCTACAGTAATTTCTGCTCCTCGAATGATCTACATGGTCCAAAGTGGAAATTCCACCTAACTAGGATCAGGGCCCGGCACAGATGGCTTGGTAAACAAGCTGAATATCGTATCTGGGACAAAAAGCAAATGGAGTTTTGTGTTTGTGGCCGAAAAGAAGCAAAACTTATGGCGTTTTTTGGTCAACGTTTCTTTTTTTGGAAACTTTTTAGGATAATGGCTAAGGGTCAAAGGCGACTTCGTAAAATTTTGACAAAGTCAAGGGAGACTTCTTTTTTGCATTTTTCAAAAGCCGCCTCGTGTCGAGCCCTTACTACGACAACAACAACATCCACATCCACAATTGCAGCAACCTCCACCTTGTCGTTTTACTCGAAACGAATGTTTTGGAGTAAAACGTTAGAGAGTTAGAGAATGGCCGTGGTGCTTGAGTCATGAAGAGCAGATTCTGTTGGAGCTGCCTGAACATTCCTCATGTCAATTTTTTGAAAATATACTCACCTATAATCGCTCAAAATTAACTACTCACCTGAACTTTATAGAAAAACGCTGCAGAACAAAGTACAGCAATCGGAAACAAGGATTTTGTGCTAGAAGGCATTCTCACTGTTACTTTCAGAAAGCTAATGTGAGGAAATAGAGGAAGAATTTGATATTCTAGGTGCTGCAGTTCTTATATGCGGTCAGCAAGGAGTCATGATCTCAGCCCTCATTTGCTGCTGTGCTGAGGGAGAATGCCGAGGGTGCGTACGCTAACCTAGCGCAAATCTGATCAGGGCTGCCTCGAAGACTTGACCCACTTATGCTGTGGTCTTCAAATTGAGATAGTTTATGAAGACAGTGTCTCGGCAAACTGAAATTCTGCGGCTCTAATAGAGAAATAATTGGTTTTTCTTCAAGCGACAGACCAAGTCCGAAAATCCTGCTGGGCTAAGTTAAGAAAGTTACTCGAACAATAGAAAGCGAGCTTGCTCCGTTCGCTCTCGCCATGTTCGCGAATTCCCTTAAGCGTTAGAGCGCGCAAACCTTTTGTTGCGTCAATTCATCCTGCTAACAATAAGAACAAAGTATCTGAAAAATGCTCGTTTCTCGTTTTTTTGAGTATTTATCTGGTCAGCATAACATGTACATACCTTTGAGAAAAAAAGGGAAAGTCGAGGGCTTGCCCAGTCACTGCATCAAGATGATTGTGATATTGCGAAGCTTTCTGGAACTACTTCGTAACTGCTGCATGTATCGCAAAGCCCAGGCTTCGATCAGCTTTGTGCCAGAAACGTGCGATGAAATTTTCGTTTACGAAAACTTAAATAAGCCATTTAAAAGTTTTCGTATGCTAGCTTGAGCGATAGTAAAACCTACGAGGCATTTACAAATTATGTTGGAATAAAATGTCCTTGTGTTCTCTCCCCCCCCCCCCCACCCTTTCCTTAGAAAAATTTGCAATGCGAATTCTTTTTATTCTATTGAGCGTGTGTAACTCCTTTAATGGGAGGAGGCAGTCTTGTTGAGACTTCATTCACAATTTTATAGTGCTACCATCTGTGATCAGATCATCTGTGATGTGTTCCATCTCAAGCGCTTCAGCCCCTCAGCTACCGGAAAGAACAGCACTATAGTTTGGTAAGTCCGCATTTGCTTCAATGTACAACCTTAAATTAAGAGTCAATTAGGTTCGAACTTGAATCGGATATGTCACCGTTTACGTCCGCGTTCCTCGACAATCCTTCCTCATTTGATCCCCGTGCCAGCTATAATAGAATGTTAAGTCATAAAAACCATTCGTAAGTCTCGTGAGAGTGATCGAAGATCTTTTGCTGAATGTTGTATGCTTAGATACTCACTCTTCGCTATTGTAACCCACATTGGAGATTCGTCGGGCGCGGGACACTGTATTAGTTATGTTCGAAGAGAAAGTGGTACAGATGTGATGATCATCAGGTGAGTTTTACGTCTTCCTTTTCTTGCTTTCTTCATGTCGAAATATCAATTGCAAAGGAAATTCATATTTGTGTTCACTTCTTTACAGATTAAAAAGATGCATTACGGCGATGTGAATAATGACAGAAGCTTATCTGCTGTTTTATCTACTTGCTCAACTACGGCTGAAGTAGAGTACGAGTTTGAATTCATATCAGATCTTCTAGTTATATCCGTCATGCCCTGTACTTTGCTCATCAGGTTGATTTCCATCTTCCAATTCTTGCATAATTCTGCCCTTTTATGACGGCAATATCTGCGAAATCTCAACTATTCACATCTCCTCGCCTCGTTTTCTACTTGAGTGACGTTGTTTTACTTGCATGTCTTTCACTAATTACGTGCGCACCTTTAAATGATGAGATGCAGCCTTTTACCTTGTTTTACAAATCCTCCACACTGATGATGACTTGTATGTACCACTCAGCAAGCAATTTTCCACTAAATGACTCATAATAGCTGTTTTGACTGACAGATTGCATATAGCGATTGTGTGCTTAAAGCTAATTTCAATAGTGAAATGCGCACAAACGAATGTGAGTATGCACACATGAGCACAAGAGTCATGAACCTGTCTGCCTTACCTAATATGTAAAGAAGTTTCTAAATCACACACCATAATAATCATCAAAGTACACAAAAAGAAGTGGGAGTCGACTTATGCCGGTGGACGGGAGTCACTGTCAGGGTTTAGCTATCCTTGCTCAAACTTCATCCTGAGCAGATGCTAAAGGCAGCGTCCAGGCAAATCTGAATCTATGGGATTTTACGTGGAAAGTAATTTTGGGGCCCTAACTAAGCCAGATGACTCACTAGCGGCTGAGATATATGCCTTCAAACTGCACCTCAGAATCGTATTTCGCATGGATTTATGCTGCAACCCATCAGTTTCGCGTGAGAACGGTTGCGCCATGAATCCATGCGAAATGCGATCCGGGTCCCGTTTTGAAGGGAATATCTCAGTCGTTAGAGCATTACCTGAGCTGCCGGTTGGGCAATCGCTTAATTAGGGCCCCGAAATTAGTTTCCACTTGAGAACCCCATATGTCCAAATTTGCCTAAACGCTTCCGGGCAAAAAACCGATTTTGAGTTTTTTGCACAAGGCCCAATCGCTATGCTGAGTCCGAAAGTTCACATTGGAGAGCCCGAAAACGACGAAAAATGGCTTTACGCAGGAGGCAGATCAGAGGGGGCACAGTTCATCCCACTGTTGAGTTAGCCCCTAGCTTCCGAAAGAATCTTCTAGATTTCGCTAGCCGCCCTACATGCAATTGGCCAAGTGCGAACGCATGACTCCAATTTGGGATCGAGAAGATCGCTCCTGAAGTTGGGAAAATGACTTCACAGAGGGGAGGGAACCGCCCACCTGGTAATTTCTGTCCTGCGTTAAAGGCCTTTTCGCCGTTGCACTCTCTAATGAGATTTCCGGAAAGCAAAGTGATCAGGGCCAAGTAACAAAATCTCAGATAGATTTTGCGCGGACACTGCTTTTGAAGGCACCGTCCACTCAGAACGGGGGTTGACAAGATTATGATGGCTTACTAGCGTGGGTCCCAAGCTATTCAAACCCCCAAGTTGTGTTGCAAAAGAT